AGATTTTAATTTATATATAGACTGGAAAAATCAGATGGGAAGAATAGTAGACCAAATGAGGAATTTGTTTAATGCTTTCAGGACAATTTCTTAGACCAGCATGTCATGACACCAAACAGAACAGCCTAAATATTGGTTTTGACCAATGAAATAGGATTAATTACTAACTTCATCATGAAAGTGCCGAAGGCAGCAACAGGGACCATAATATGTTTAAACTTGATGTAAAATTCAAGGGAAAGTAACATGAATTTTGAATTCAAACAAGGTCAATTATCAGGGCATGAAAGCAAAGCAGGCAAAAGTGAACTGGCAATTTAGGTTAAGGGATATGTAAACCGAGATCTAGGGGCAAACATTTAAATGGATATTCCATTCAGCACAGAATAGATACATGTAAATAAGAAAAACTCTAAGCAATGGGTGCCATCTGTGGTTAACTAAAACAAATCAAAAATAATGATATCATATTCAAAGAAAAGACATAATTCTGCAAAGACAGGTTGCAGGTCCGAAAGTTGGACGGAATATTTTAAAAAAAGCAAATAATTACTAAATTAATTAGAAGGGAAAAATATTAGAATACGAGGGAAAATTAGCCAAAAGTATAAAAACAGGTAGGAAAAGCTTCTCCAAATATTTAAGAAGAGGTTTTTAAAAAACGATGTTGGTCCTATAAAAAAAGGAAGTCTAGGGAATTAATAGGTTAAAGAAATGGCAAACAAATTGAACAAATATTGTGTGACAGTCTTTACTAGAGAGGATACGAGTAACATCCCAGATATAGCTGAAAATCAGGAACGGGAAAAAGGAGCTCAAGAAAATTATGATTACCAGGGAAGTATTATCGAGTAAATTGTTGGAACTGCGAGTTGACAAGTTCGCAGATCCTGACAAATTTCATCCTAAGGTCTTAAAAAGAAGTAGCAGTGAGATAATTAGTTGGTTTTAATTTTCATTAGATTCAGGGAAGGTTCTTTTAGATTGGAAAACACCTAACGTGTCTCCTTTATTCAAAGAGGAAGGGAGGCAGAAAGCAGGAAACTACTCACCACTTAGCTTAATCTGTCATAGGGAACAAGTTAGTCTGTTAGTAAAGACATTACAGCAGGGCACTCAGACAAGTTCAAGGTAATCAGGCAGAGGCAACATGATTTGGTCAAAGGGAAATTATACTTAACTAGTTATTGGAGTTCTTTAAAGAAGTAACTTATGCTGTTAGTAAAGGGGAACCTGTGGATGTACTTGGATTTCCAGAAAGTATAACATGCCACATCAAAGGTTATTACAGAAAATCGAAGCCCATGGTGTAAGAGGTAACATGTTGGCACAGAGAGAAGATTGGCTAGCTAACAAAAAGCAGAGTAGGAACAGAAGATCATTTTCAGGCTGGTAGGTTGTCATGAGTGATGTGCGAGAAGGGTCAGTGCCAGGGCCTCAATTCTTTACAATTTATACAAGTGACTTGGATGAAGGGACCAAAGTTATGGTAGCTAAATTTGCCAATGAAACAAAGATAGGTAGGAATGCAAGTTGTGAACATAACATGAGGAGCCTACAAAGAGATATAGATACGTTAAGTGAGTGGGCCAAGATATGGAAAATTAAGTACAAAGTACGAAATTGTTCCTTTTGGCAGAATGAATAAAAAGGGATATTATCTAAATGGTGAGAGATTGCAGAGCTCAGAAATGCAGAGACATCTGCATGTCCTAGTGCATGAATTACAGAGCATTAGAATGCAGGTAAAGCAAGCAATCAAGAAAGCTAATAGAATGTTATGTTTATTGCTAGAGGAATTGAATGCAAGAGTAGAGAGGCTACGTTTCTGTTGTAAAGGGCATTAGTGAGACTCCATCTGGAGTAATGTGCACAGTACTGCTCGCCATCCTTACAGTAGTATGCTAATGCAATGCAGGCAGTTCAGAGAAGGTTTACAGGATTAATACCTAAAGGGCTCTTGTGGTACAGCAGTAGTGTCTGTACCTCTGAGCCAGTAGGCTCCACCTGCTCCAGCGGTGGGTAAGAAGGCTGATTAGAAAAAAAAAGCCTGGTATGAGCAGATTACCTTATTAGGAGAGGGCAGACACGCTGGAGTTTAGAAGAGTGTCAGAGGTGACTTAATTAATACAAACAAGCTCGTGAAGGCACTTGATCAGGTGTATGTCAGAGGACATTTTCCTGTTGTAGGAGAATCAAGAACAAAGGGACCGTAGTTTGAAAATAAAGGGTCAGCCACACATGATAAACATAAAGGAAACTTTTTTTCTCTAAGAGGGTTGAGAGTCTTTGGAATTCCCTTCCTCAAAGGCAGTGGATGAAGCATCTTCAAGTGTTTAAGCCAGAGATAAATAGATTATTGATTACTAACTATTATAGTGAATGCTTTGTCAACTGCAAAAATCCTGCTAGGATGCTTGGCTTTTTGTGTAAAAAGGGCATCAGTTTTTTTTAAAAATAGAGCATTTTTTTGCTAACTAATGCTAGTTGTCTTTTCAAATACTATTGTGTCCAGGAAATGATCCCTTTACTTGTGTGTTGTGGCTTTAAGTTTAATGGAGCAGTGATGATTGAGCATTTCAATGAATTCTTCAAATTCTTCTAATTCTGCTTCTGTCTGAGTCCAAGTTCCCCATATGTGAACACGAATACAGACGGTATTATTACTAAGTGACTGCATTACCAAATGAAGGAGCTAGTGAGACCGGAAAAAAAACCACTGAAAACTAAAAAGTAGCCCCTGAAAATCAAAAGGGATCCTTTGACAAATCTCAAGAGGACGCCCAGGGGAAATAAAGTTGAGCCTGCAATATTAACAATGATGGGCCCCAACATATACTTGAATAAATGTTGGTGATTAAGATGTCCAGTGAGCCCCAAAGACACATTAGGTTAATATGTATACAGAATGCACTTAAATGCTTTCTTGCAAATAAAAATATTTAATGCAAATTATAGTCTCTGTTGAAACTTTCATCTGTACCCAATTAATACTGGATTTTAGCAAACCCAGACACCTCTCTAATGGAGTTCATTTAAGAATAATTTTTACCATATGGTAACACTGGCCAGACAAACCATTAGAACTTCAAAGCCTTGAGAAATGAAACCATCTTTTAACATTATCTACATCCATCCACAGTTTATAACAAGCCAGAGAGTCTGTACATAAGCACACAATATTAATCCCTTCAAAACTGACATAACATGTGAGCATCTATTTAAAACAAAGTCAGATATACAATTTAAAGATATTCATGGATATGTATACAAGATCTCTACTGACATGCTTCACTATGGAACTCTTATTTATTCAGGATATACAACTTTGTTTCTTTTATAGACAGCTCTCATCTAAACATTTGCTATTTTACTCTTCTGCATTTAGCAGTTACAAGAGATGTTTTAACTAGAGAGAGAACAAACAAGCCGACATACAGTATCACACATTACTAGCGCAATGAAACAACAATTTATCATTGTAGTGGTGCAAGTGCTTGTAACAAATTACCATCACCAACATACTACGGTAAAGAATGGAAATAACTACTCAAAAATGTTCATTTCCTAACCTTAGACTGATTACGGAGGTGAACGAGGGGAAGCAAGATACTAAGCCAGACAAATTACCATCAGGTGAGAAGAAAGGCAAGTGTTATCTGCTGGCCACTTTTGCACACCTCACAAAGGTCAATTTGAATCAGCTAAATTTGAAGTGGGTGAATATACCCGGTCTTTTATTCATAAATGCTGAGTGCACTAACGGAAGAAAAATCCACAAAAATATTCACAATTACAGGAAATTTAAGGATCTAAATGTTACTTATCATCTGGTGAAAACAGATGCACTCTGTTCAAGAAATGTTGACAGAAGTTAAAAAAGCAATACATCAGAAAACTCTCCAAAGTAGTCATATAAATTTAAAGAATAATCAAAACAAAGACATCTGCCATTATTCAACTTTTGAAGGTAGGTCTCAATATCATAAGAGTTTATTTTGTCCCACATGACTCAGGCAAATGATACTTTATTCCTCAATAAATGGTTACATTTATTGTATTTAAATCATGTACCCTTAGTTACAGGAAAGGCAAACTAATTTATGTTAGAAGAGAAAATGTACTCACATAAGCCATAAACAAAATTGTCCTTAAATACAAAACAAAATAACATACTTGAAAACAATAAATCATTATTTTAGGCCAATCACATGGTCTCAAAATACATTGGTCAAATACACTTTCTGCGATCAACAAACAGTGGACTACCAAAGTGTTGCATTTGGCTCAACATTTTTGAAGATTAAAAAACATCATATACAACTAGTTTGTTTCTTTGAGGACTGGTCAATTTAATCAGTGAAAACACCTGCATATATGTAACAGAATTTCTAATTGTCACTCATTTCAGCAATTTGAAATAAAATATTACTGAACTAATATTTCTCGGATATGGCAATTGCTCATCCCTATCACAAACACGTGGTTTTGTTTTCTGCTCTTTTAACTCTGAATACAGAGAGAAAGAGAAACAAGAAAATGCTTCAACTACAATCTACCACAAATTACAAAGCATCATTGTTCTAAAAGAAAGGCACTGATAATTTCAAGCAACTTCACATGCCTATGCTTGCTCCCACTCATAACCAGAAAACATCACCATCATACCAACACTCATGCAAGCCATTACAACATGACAAAATATTACACAATAGCAGGTTTTTAAAAGGTGAATGAAATTGCTAAAAGATAAAGTTGAAAGTAAAACAAGACTTTCTCATCAAAACTTATAACATCATGGTGATATCTCATGTAATGTTGTGTCTCAAATCAATTTGTACTGAGTTCTCCTGTTTATGTTCTACATCAAAAGGCCTTGCGTTCCTGTATATTAATCCTCTTAGTCACAAATGCACTATAATTAAAAAGGAAATACTGCAGCCTCAATTTAGACCATCCAGACAGCTCTGTGAGGTCAGTGTTCTAAACTTATTACTTACTTGTGCCTCCACATAGGGTGGAATTCCAACGAGGCAGAAAGCCACGCCATTCATCTGTAAGATGCTGTGCCTCCGAGTTTTCAGAATGTAGTAAAAAGCCTCAATAATCTATACTCCAGCCAGCTTCTAATTTGCAGTTAATAGTCTGCCCCCTCCCCAGGTTAACGCCGCCTATGTGCTCTGCGCAAAACCATGCACTAGTCTTCTAATTATCATCCTGTCCACAGCCAAAGGGGAAAGAAGAATCAACTTCCAGTACTCTGCACCAGGGAATCTGTCAGAGCAATACAATGGACACAAAAATGTTAAATATATTACACAAATACATCGAATTTGTTGAGTTTCATGTTACACTCTTGTCCCCATTAGGCTTTTCTTCATAAAAAGCTTTGGTGTTCAATGGATCTCTTCCCTTTCTTTCTAAATCAGATTAATAACATTACAGCTGCGATTTAAACAGACGTCTAGAATGGGAAGAGGAGGAGGCTCCCTGCCAGTAAACATTCCAACTGACAGGGGAAACATGTGACGGAAACGCTGGAACAGCACATGGACTACAGAGACTGCACCCAAATCCTGTCTGCACAGTACTAAATAGAATGCAGACAGCCCAACAGAAAATAAATAATATAAAAATCATGTCATTTCAAAAAGTTCATTTTCAGACCTGGGAGTATAAAACTGCTGAATTTATCTCGGATGGAAGTATGCTACTGGAAATAATTGAAACTGGGAGTAAGAAAGGAAAGTTGCCAAAGATTGCCTTTAAAGAAACACAGAAACTATTTAAAAATCTTTATTGAGCTAATTTTAAGAAATGTTTGCGAGACACATCAAAAACATTGCTGGAATATACAAACTAGTTGTTATCTGGACACTGGAGTCACTACAGATCACACAGCACACAGGCAGATAGCAGAACTCCAACAAGCATCCTCTAATATGGAGCCAATTAGGAGATGGTTGCCAGGAGAGTCAGCCAGTAAGTGGTGGGACAAAGCAGTATTCTTAAGTATAACAGTGTGGAGCTGGAGGAACACAGCAGGCCAGGCAACATCAGAGGAGCAGGAAAACTGGTGTTTCGGGTCAGGACCCTTCTTCAGAAACGGGAGAGGGGGAAGGGAGCTCTGAAATAAATAGAGAGAGGAGGGGTGGGATGGTAATAGGTGAGTGCAGGTAGGCAGTGGTGGCGATTGGTCAGTGAGGTGGGAGGGGCGGATAGATGGGAGAGAAGACGGACAGGTCAAGGAGGCAGGGATGAGAGGGAGGGTTGGTCATGGGATGAGGCCGGGGGTGGGGAGATTTTGAAACTAGTAAAGTCCACATTGAGACTATTGGGTTGTAGGCGCCCAAGGCGGAATATTCTTAGGTAGTTTGCTGGCACCATACTGAAAGATTAAATCTTCATATGAGCTGCAATAGAAGGCAGAGGAAAGGCAACAGAAGTGACCAGAAGGGGGATTCTTTTACTAGCAGAAGCAGAAGGTCAGCAAGGCTGATGAAGGCAGCACAATTACAGGTGGCCAAGAAAGTCAGCAACTGCACGGTGATCACACCAACATGGTTTTAGCGTGTTATGATAGGCCATATTTACCACTACAGAATTTTAACTTCCATTATCTGATTGTTAACCCCGAAACCATTCATGAAGTGAAATGCTTTATACAGGAGGAAGAAACATGACCTAAAATGGCTGCAGCGGTCACCTGGGATGAGACAATGTGCATGAGACAAGGTGCTGAAACAGGCATAGGGAAAGGCCAAAGACCATCATGCACAGACAGCTGTAAAGTAGGCTGACTTTGGAGAACCATGGTCAGTAAAAATGATAAGTGAATGGTCACTTACAGCTAGGCTCAAATTGGAAGGATGGTTGTTCTAATTTAAACACCAGTCTGCTGAGCACATTAACTACAAGGTCGGTACGATATTCTGTATTTCTATCGCTGTAGAGAAATCCATTGTCATACTCAGGAAGTGACGAAACTCAGGAAGATCCGTCCCTTTTGCTGCTGTAGTCACACAGATGAGGAGGATGAAATTGAGACTGGATGGGCTGTAGAAGGCCAGGCTGTTGCAAAGGCAAGGGATATGAAATTGTGAGAGATAAAAAAGCAATGGTCATAGGTACTATAACTTATGTCTGAACAGGATTAGCATTGCGGTCTGTGGCGTGTTGACCACAAGAATCTCAAGATCAAGGGTTGAAAGGACTGTTTGGATGGATGCAAAAGATATTAACAGCAATCTTGCACTTCCTGCAAGACCAGTAGTGAATGTGAGGGCAATGGCATCCATATCATAAAACCTCAGAGGAGCAGCCACCATCAAAGAAGACAGGATTGTGTTAATCCAGCACAATTTCCAACAGCAGGCACTCATTGATGAACATTAAATGCATTATGAATGGTGTGCCACCAGCCAATTCCACCCAATGTACATCAGCAGGTGACAGAGACAGCTTCAGGCAGCCAGACCCCTCTGGAGGGCTGGAGACTCCCCTAGCAATGCAGAGCTTCATGCAGTTTCCAGGATTTAAAGGTTATTATAGAAGCAGGAGGTACTGGAGTAAAAGTGTGAGATGTGGGGAAATCTGTCAAAATTCCCAAAGTATGTTGGCTACCACTTGTGCATGAAGTCTACCAATTCCGTGAAAGGTATATGAATGCACTGCCTCCTACATTGTGAGAATGGTGATCTTCACGTAGGTCCACAATGAGTAGCCCAGCAAACAGATACAAGAACTGCGTGCCAGCCTCCACACAGTAAAGACACAGTTAAGTGTTAAATACTAGGTGAAGGCTCTTTTCCGGGTACTCCTTGCATTGACAAGAGCCTCAGTTCCTTTGAGAGTAACACAAACACCACAAGGACACAGGCTACCCTTGCAGAAATGCACATCAAACATCCTATGCTCAGCCATACAGAGACCACACATCTCAAGCGCCAGCAAGGCCAACAGCCTACCTCCACATTAGTTACAGGTGTCAGGTGTACACAACATAGGCATATCTGGAAGCTTTATTAAAAGGGATCTAGTAGCTGTCACTGGGCGGAATTTATTTTGTGATTGCCTGTGCATCAGACCAATTATGTGCTGATGAGGTGTTCATGTGTATTCATTCTTGTATACATATCAATTGCTGTGGTCATCGGCACCTGGAGATGTATTAGCAATTGGATACTGCTTCATGGAAGAGATGATGGCCTGTACAATGTAGTCATCTATACAGCACAGCTGATCACCATGATATTGAAGAATCTTTATGGGGTGTATTGCAGGGCTGTCCCAGATCTAAGCATTGGAACCATGTTTTCAGAAGCCCAACTATAAATTCAATGCAACTACATGAAGATTTCTTCTGCCTCTGTCCTGGGGCTCTGCATAAATTTAAGCAACCAGCTCTTTAGTGGATACACTTCCTTGACATCCAAGATCCACAACAAAAAGTTCAAATGAAGAATTCATGCACCTGGGATTATTCGAGGGTGTAGAGTCCATTGCAGCTTCCCATGAAGCTCACACAAAACTGGAGGAGTCTTCCCATTAACAAACAGCCATGACTGTGCAGAGAGAGCTTTGATATCCATTTGCAGACTGCATTGCTGCCGAGGGAATTCTGCCATCACTCTGAATCCAGTCACCCAAACTGCCTGACTGGCCCGCTTGATGAGAAAACTGATGAGTTTCCCTACTATGTGTAACAAGCTATCCATCGCCTGCTTGAAGCATGATATGCCGTTGAGTGATCTCCCAAAAATGTTTCCAGATGAACCATTAAACAAGGCTGAGACAAAAAGTCAAGTGTCACAGGTACATTCACTGTCATAGACAACTGGGAGCAACCAAACATTACCACCACATTCTAATGCCCTACCTCCTCAGTGCCCGCCATAAGCACTTGCCACAGGGGCAGTTAAATTTCACTGAGGTTACACATGCATATCATTAAACTACAATGTTTTAAAATTGGTTAAGAGAAAACAAATAACCAAAATGCATGTGTAATATTCCAATTTTAATTATAATGGTATTCAATTTCAACTCAAAATAATCTGCAACACAACTTAAGTATTATTTTCTTAAGTGATGTGGAATTTAATGCTCGAGGGAAATTTAGAAGTGGGAGGGCACCAGATTGGCACCTTACACTTTCATTCTCTGCCTCAAATTAATCCAGGACAGGAAGGCTCACAGACAGCTTTCCCCCAGGCAGTTACTGCACTCAAAGATCCTACCCTGCTTCAAGTGGGATTCAGCTAGTGGAGCATGGGGCTGTCATTATGTGGAAATCCTGAAAAGCAAATCTATTCAGTTTGCAATGTGGGATCCAGGAGATGGGGCAAGGTTTCTTGTTTAAAAGGAATGGTGCCTGAATGACTCAGCACCAGGGAGGAATGACCCAAACAGCTACCCCTTACCACTGCTGATAAAGCCCTTCCACCCTCTCATGCAGCCCAAAATCACCTCTTTCCTGAGAACCTTGATTATACTAGGATTAAATCTCCAGGCACATTGCCAACAGTACTACTGTTCCCCAGGTGGCATTATCTGAAGTGGATTCTCTGATTGGCTGACAGTTCCTGGGGCAGGATTTCTACCCCAAGGATCTTTGAGCTGGGCACTTGAGTGCCCCAGGAGCAACTAATACGGCAAGTCTTCTTAAGGTGGGATAAGTTTAGTTTGGGATTACGGTCAGCATGGATTCTACAAGTAAGGCTACCAAATTCTTTCACAGGCTTCCGTACAATGTATCAATTTTTGGGTTATGAAAAACAATATAAATTGGTTCACAGATTTTACTCTTAACATCTTAAAAATCTTGTTACTCAAATGAAATAAAAATCAGTATCTGTAACAAAAGCACTACAAAATTCACAAACTGCTGTTAACACACAACATTTTGCCCCCACTAAGCTTTTTCTCTTGCATAGTCCAATGGACATTAGTCAATTTACATACATACAATTCAAATGGCAACAAAAAGCTTCATTACATTAACACTTAACTGCATTTGCAATAAGGGACAAAAATAGATAGAACTCTGGTGAACAGCATACTGAATAAAAATAGGTCAAACCCTCCTGGTGTCACACAATGACATCAGTGCAGTTCCATCTGCCTGAGGATCACATTCCACAAACCATAAATCTATTTTTAATAACTAAATCTGGATACAAAATACCAAGTACTGTAAATACTAATCATAAAATGCATATTTTCAATACATAAAACAATTTTCTATTCACGCATAATAATTTTTGATTTCTTGAAACATGACGTAAATTCCTGGTTTTGCTGTTGCATTACTCATTGGGTGTTCCTCCCAAGTTGCAGCACAGACAGATTTTGAATCATACTTTACACATTGTTCTTACATTAAATGAATCCTCAAAATTAGCAAATAAACACAAGAGACAAAACTCTATTTGAACATTTTAATTGTAGTAAAATATGAAAATGTTGCTCTGGAAACTTTAAGGAATAGTTGATTCAATTAAAATCAATACTATTTCCATCTGTCTAAAAATCGGTCTTAAAAGAAAAGCAAAAAATTGGGGCAGTACAGTGGCTCAGTGGTTAGCACTGCTGCCTCATAGCACCAGGGACCCGTGTTCAATTCCAATCTCAGCCATTGTCTGTGTGGAGTTTGCACATGGGTTTCCTCTGGGTGCTCTAGTTTCCTCTCGCAGTCCAAAGATGTGCAGGGTAGGTGGATTGGCCATGCTAAATTGCCCAGTGATGTTTAGGTTACATGGGTTAGATGTGGGAATTGCAGTGATAGGGGAATGGGTCTGGGTGGGATGCTCTTTGGAGGGGTGTGTGGACTTGTTGGGCCTGTTTCCGCACTGTAGACATTCTATGAATTGAAGATGACAGGAAAATTTGACGATTGTACTAGATAAAAGCATATCTTCATTTCATAAACGACGCAGAAGTACTGCTGAGGTTATGGACAGTATCCCTTCAAAAATCACTGAGTAAGCCTCTGCTACAGTGTCTCATTCTGGCCACCACACTTAAAGAATATCAAGGCCTTAGAAAAAGATGTGAAAGACAGTTTAAAAAATGCTACTAGAGATTTCAGTCATGTGCAGAGGCAACAGTAACTGGGATAGATCTTCTTTATAGATTAAGCAGACGATAAAAGGTTTTTAAACTTCCTTGATTTTGACAGTCAGTAACAGAAAACTGTTCCCACTAGCAATAGAGTGGTTACCAAAGGATACAGATACAAGATACTTAGATTTACAGAAATTTAAAGTGCAGTAGCAGTCATTTAATGCCTACCATTTGAAGGAATAGATCTGTATAACTGCACCACCCTGTTTTGGTCTATGGCCATGCAAATCTGTTGCTCAAGTAAATCAAGTTGAACGTACTGTATGACAATTTGTAGACAATGTTTTGTTGCAGTTTAAAGCAATGACGTAGTAGAACGGACAGCACCAGATGGAGAAAGATGATGGGCTGGAGGCCAAAAATGAACTGGGATGAGCGTGTCGCTGGCTAGGCAGCATTTATTGCCCATCCCCAATTGTCCAGAGGGCAGTTAAGAGTCAACCACATTGCTGTGGGTCTGGAGTCACATATAGGCCAGACCAGGTAAGGACGGCAGTTTCATTTCCTAAAAGGACATTAGGGAACCAGACAGGTTTTTCCCGACAATTAGCAATGGATTTATGGCCATCATTAGACCCTTAATTCCAGATATTCAAATTCCACCATCTGCCACAGCTGGATTCAAACCCAGGTCTCCAAAACATTATCTAGGTCTCAGGATTTATAGTCCAGTGATAATACCACTAGGCCATCACCTCCCTTCTGTGGGGAGGATCTTCAAGAGTGGGACACTACTTGGGTTGGAGTGAGAAGCACTGCAATGGACCAGGGACAGCAGCAGAATGCTGCTGCCCACTGTCCCTCACACAACAAGACGA